ATAACCAGGAGTCTAGCACCAGGAGTCTAGAACCAGGAGTCTAGCACCAGGAGTCTAGCACCAGGAGCCTAGCACCAGGAATCTAGAACCAGGAGTCTAGAACCAGGAGTCTAACACCATGAGTCTAGAACCAGGAGTCTAGTACCAGGAGTCTAGAACCAGGAGTCTAGTACCAGGAGTCTAGCACCAGGAGTCTAGAACCAGGAGTCTAGAACCAGGAGTCTAGCACCAGTAGTCTAGAACTAGGAATCTAGTACCAGGAGTCTAGCACCAGGAGTCTAGAACCAGGAGTCTAGAACTAGGAGTCTAGAACTAGGAGTCTAGAACCAGGAGTCTAGCACCAGGAGTCTAGAACGAGGAACCAGGAGTCTAGCACCAGGAGTCTAGCACTAGGAGTCTAGCACCAGGAGTCTAGCACCAGGAGTCTAGAACCAGGAGTCTAGAACCAGGATTCTCCCTCCCACCCATCTGGACCTCCTTACCCTAACCCCTATATGACCTTTGACCCCATCACAGCCCCCCTGCTTCCACTCCCACTGCTATGTATATCGTATAATGAAACATGTGATTATAACTTAAAACCAGTGATTACAGTATGTTTTATAAAGACCTTTATTATTAATAATATCTCTCATGATGTTTATGATGATCTGACGCTGAGCTTCAGGTCAGAAACTTTACAAATATTAAATATTTCACATTTTAAAAATATTAAATTGTCCAAAAAAACCTGTCAAACAGCGTTTCTACGGCAACGCAGCAGTGTCTCCAATGTAACGTAGCAGTGTCTCCACGGTAACGCAGCATTGTCTCCACGGTAACGCAGCCGTGTCTCCACAGCAACGTAGCGGCGTCTCCACGGCAACGCAGCAGTGTCTCCATGTTAACGTAGCGTTGTCTCCACGGCAACGCAGCAGTGTCTCCATGGTAACGTAGCGGCGTCTCCATGGTAACATAGCGACGTCTCCATGGTAACGCAGCGTTGTCTCCATGGTAATTTAGCGTTAGCAGCGTGCTAGCAGCTTTGTGTGCTGAGAGGAAGTGATGTCACACCTCCAGGCCCTGTTGTGTCAGGAAGTCTTCGAGCGCGCTCAGTCGCTGAACCAGCTTCACGTCAGACTCCGCCTCCTCGTCTCCGCCGTTACCATGACGACGAGCTGCCAGCCGCTTCCTGGGCACCAAGGCAACAGGAAGTCCCGCCCCTAAAACACAGCCCAGTTTATTTCGGGAACTTTTACACACATTTCTATCTGCAGTGTTTTTCTATACAGAAATGTTCAGAAACATGTAAGAGAACCACATTTCCCAGAGTACCTTGCTGCCTCTTCCTCTTCCGGGGCTGAGTGTAATCAGGAAAGAGGAGAAGCCTGCGCCTCCTCTGCTGGCCAATCAGCAGCAGCGCTCCGTCCTTCTCCCGCGGCTCCTCGAAGATCGTCTCCAGACTCCTGCAGGGCCACACAGATGCATGCTGGGACGTAGTTTGTGTCTCTGGTGTTAAGGTGGGTGTTTGTAGTTCTTACCTGTTGGTTGAGGGGGATTTGTAGTTCTTGTTGGTGTAGATCTCCTCCAGACTGAACTCTTTCTTCTTCAACCTGAAGAAATTAAATGTTGTTATTAATGAACTCAGTTTATATTTACCCAGTCCCCTTACCTGAGGAAACTGTGTCCCCCCTCTCACCTGTCCCCCCTCACCTGTCCCCTCTCTCACCTGTCCCCCCTCGCCTGTCCCCTCTCTCACCTGTC